ACGAATAAAACATAAAATTTTTTCTCCAACCCCCTTTACTTCAAATTATATTCGAATTTAGATTCAGTCACAGTTTCACTACTAGTATAAGAACTTCTGCTTTCTTGTCCTCACGTGTCATGCCACTCTAGTTTTTAGGTTAACTTATAACCTATTCGTTCTTACTTCTTACTTCTCACCTATCGCGACTTTGTAGGGAGCAAATCTTGAGGTAGCATGTTCTGCCGTTTCTATAATCTCTGGCGGAGTGCAATCCATGTCGCTATCAGTTTCAGTCATTTCTAATGCATACACAATTAATATTGTTATATTTGTATTGAAATAAAAAACTTACCATACAGTTTTTTAATTAAAATTAATTGCAATTAACTTTTTCAAATTTTGAATTCAAAATGACAGATAATAGTGCAAGGGGTCTGAAGTAGATGGCGTTACGCGCGACGGCGGGTTGTATACGTATTAAAATTACGTTCATAGAATATGTAAATTACGTTACACATGGTTTAAATAAAAATAGCGAGCGTAAATCATTTTCAATACATGTACATACGTATAGGTGACATCATTATTTGCATTTATATGCAAAAAGATTTGATTTGTATGTATAGAAATATCTTATAACCTGCAATGTAAAACGATGTCAATGTGACATATCTCCGTGATTGTAATTTTTTAATTGGCCAACTTTCAAGGTCAATTTCTTTTTGGTACTAGGACCAAAAGTATCCACTTTTTGTACAGTTGCCAATTGCCATGGTGAAAGCGATTAATCCGCAAAACGTCAATTTTACGTACCGAACACTGTCACAAAATAGCGTCTTATTCAGGTGGTTGGAGAAAAAAGAATTATCTAATTTGGTGCAGTCGTTCTGAAGTGATGCGCTTACATAAATTTCGGCGATTCATTTTTATATATATATAGATACATTCAATGGTGTTTTTTTGGTAGCAATGGTAGCAAGCGAAACTCGACCGAAAGGAACTTTAATATGCTAAAGATAATAAGGCACGAAGTCGCTTACGCGCCATGTTAACTGCAACGGTAGCAAGCAAAACTCGACCGTAAGGAACTTTTCAATTTTTTTACCTCTTGCCGTACGATTTTTTTATTTTCTCACCTTTTAAACCTTCCCTGAACTTCCACAAATAATTCAAAACCAAAATGAGCCAAATCGGTCCAGCCGTTCTGGAGTTATAGCGTCAGGAAGGAAAACACGACTTATTTTTATATTATAGACTATTGTCGAAAGTCTGTATTGAATAAGAAAAAATAACGATATACCGATACCGAATAATGATATCGAGTTTTCAACATTACAGCTCTCTAAAATAGATTGTTTTAATTTTATTCCTATGATTCATTGATTCTGTTGGTTTGATTTTAAGTTTACTTGACACTGGTAGCGACAAAGGTCGTCGCCGCGGACCATAACCTCCCAAGTGAAGATGTTAGCGACCGTGCAGAGGACTGCCGGGTACTAAGGTGTATTGTCGATAACGGTGCCCCTTGGATACCGGGCGACCTCCGAGTGGTAGCCCCTTTCCTTCGGGACCAACAAACCAAGCGTCCAACGCAGGCCTTATTCAAACTGCGGAGGGACACTGTTCCGGAGTCGCATCTGGAAGTTGACATCACTGATCCTCAGTCGAGGTGCATTACGGCTGGCAAAGCCATTATCGCCGATTGCAAGGACCATAGACTGGTTGGAGAAGACCAGCCCTCTTATTAGGTCCTAAAAGTGCAGAGACACGTGCCTAGGGTAACCAAGATGATGGTTGTCATACGGGCTCTCGGATGACACGGCCGCCATCTTCGAAGCTTCTCCAAAGCCAAAGCCTTGATCCTGGTTCCTTATGGAGGACGTTCTTCCGCAGGGAGGAGCATGGTAGGATTCTGCTCGCATTTGGTGTCGATTTTCAAGCGCACAAGTCATTTTGTGAAATTTAATGAAAAAGAAACGTTTAAGCTTGTTCAACTAGGTAGTTCACCGAATAAAAATAGAAATTGACTGGGGAAAAAAGAACTTACTAATAAAAAAAACCAGCCGTCCAATTAATATTAAATTATGTAGTAAAATTAATTGTAATGATGAGAATGCGTAACATAAAATTATAAAAGTTAGCATGTAGACTTCAATAGGTAACATTTAGGATAAAAACAAGTTTTGGGAATTATGGGTCAGGTAAGCAGGTACCAAGGTTCAAAGAAAGGGTGAAATACACAGGATGTGACTGATCTTTGGTAAAATAGTCTTTTTGTTAAAAGATGGAAAATTACATGGCCTTGTAGGCAAATTTAACTAAAAACAAGATATGTGGAAATTATTGAATCGCCACTCATTTATCGCACATAGATTCTAAACTGCAGAGCTTTGATTAGCGTAATCCCGCTCCTGCAAGATAGGTACCAGCCCCTGGTTTCGAGCCTACAGTTGAATGTCGAAGTCAATCACGGAATTAGGTGTCGCTCAATTTTGACTAGTTTTTACCACCCCCGTGACTGCTTCATTCACGGAGAAAATGGTTAGTTACAAACAATAGTCCGTACATACATCAAACGAATCGGTAATTTCCACATATTAAAATAAAATGATCAAAACCTATATGAATGTAACTTCTCGGACAAGACCAAGTAATCAACACATAAACATAAATAAAGCAAATATTACACCAAAAAGGTAAAGGATTATAAACAAAAGGATAACGGCATTAAGCATGTCATTCTGCATTGCGGTTAAACCAAGTAATTTCAAAAACATACATTGAAACACAAAAAATATAAAATGCGGCATACAAAACACAAATACGATATAAAGAAATGCAAAAATTACTACCTGCATTAAATAACACAAAACACTGTGATGTACCCAAGTCGACAGCTCCCGCGCTATCGAAAATGGGAAAAAACACGAACTCGGAACACTGGAAGTAATACAAACCTCACACTCGACAATGGCCGGAACCCCTACGTTGTGGAAAACCAGGTTGCACTTACTCGTACCCATGCTTATTATCGGAAAGGTGGAACGGAAATAACACGCTTAATTGAATTTGAAACACAAAGTTTATTAAATAACTAATCAAAAGTGTAAAAATGAATCAAAAGGCTGAAAGACATCCTACAAATTTAGACAGAATACATTTAAAGCCAAAAAGTGCGGACAAAAGAACTGTACTAAAGAAAATTCCGACTCACCGTTCACAGGTGTGAAATCTAGAGGGAAAATCTGGAGAATGAGAGGTAACATTGGATAACGCTAAACACATTTTACAACACATCTACAATAGTTATACAAAGAGTAATAATCGGAGTAAGTAACTCTTGAATTGGACAGATTGAAATCTGACGTTAATGAAATACAAACTTGATAAGTTAAAGGATGGCCATCACAAGTAGATTTAAAAAGCACCTTCAATCTTTTCCCCATGTGTAAAAGAATACATTCCGAAGTCTCTTACATAAAGTGCATAAAATATACATCGTTAATTAGCCAGACCTCCTCCAATGTAGCAGGTATGTAAGATCCTTGATACGGTAACCTTAGACTAAAGTTGTCGTTCGAGATACATACCGCTAAGTATCTTTATCACTCCGGAATATACCTCTGCAAGGGCGAAAAGGTTAATTATACTCAAAAAAGGCTGATTCATACACAAAGAATTGAAGTCTGAAGTCGCTAATCAATCCAAATGGGTGCAAGACAAACAAATGAAAATTGATAGCTGGCCAATCTTCAACAAATCAAAATAGGAAACATTTTTACATTGAAAGCAAAATACACCAAATTCAAGAATTACTTTACCCTGCATTACAAATAGCTGAAGGCAACATAAACTAGCTACAATATAAATCAATTACAACTAGGCACATTACCTTTCCGTTATACGGAGCACCACCCTAACTGTCCTGATCTCCCAAAGCAAAGCAAAGTGAACTCAAAGACAAAAATGAACCTGTGTGAACTCTAAAAAGCTAACTCGGTAAAAACTAAATCTATCCACCATTTCCTCCCTATACAGACTACTATTGTTATAATTGCTCACATCGAAGAATGAATACATTTGAATAATAAACCTATTGTTTTTCATGGGAATGCTATTGAATTGGGTCTCGGTATCTGGCAACGGTAGTTTGAACGGTGTCTCAATATACGGTAACGGAACTTCTTGTTTGAAATTTGAAAGCAGGCATCTCAATACTACAGTGACTTTATAAGGACAGTGGCGACAACTTATCATAATCCGCCATATTGGAGCTAAAAAATTGATTGTAAGATCAATATACCTTGTCATGTCAAATTGTGAGCGTAGAATAATAAATGTCAGTTTCATTTAAGTAAAGATTCTTGTTCAAAACGAACGGCGCAGAAATGATCGTTTAAAGCTTTGCAGAACAACCTATGGGAAAACAAATGCCTCCCAAATTAAAAAGGTATGGGTATATGGAAAACGGTATAATAAGTATGACATATGGTGCAATATCCAAAATGTACATATAAATAATCATTAAATTGTGTTTGACATTTCAGTGTCTTCTGTCACTTCTTGTCCCCTGTCGCGTGTTGCTCCTTCCGGACTTAAAAGTATTTCTTTAGTCTCTTAAATGGAAGACAAAACACGTTGATCTAGTCCACGGAGTACAAGAGATCAATATTCCATGTGCTCCAGCAAACATGAAACCAATTCAAACGTATTTACGATCACAATTGAATTTGCTGCTAAATTTCGGATAAGCTGCTTCTCTAACCAGTTTTCTATCTAAACTCATTAGGTATTTAGGGCGTCTGAAAAAAATTTTACATCAATTACCAGTCGTAAGGTTAGGCACAGTTTTACATCTAAAAACACTAAGCGGATTACATACCTTATAATATTGTAATAAATCCAAACTATATGCGTCTTTAAAAATCGAGTTTATATAAAACTGGAGACGGAAAACGTAAAATAAAGCAAATACAAGAAGCAAAGTATAAACTATACTTCGTTCACCCAACAGAAATAGTTAAGCCCCTCCTCAACAATTACCGCCAAATTTGAATACGACATTGTTATTGGTGTAATTTTTGAAGCCACAATCACACTTGTAAAGCGAATTGGCCGAATTGGGTAATCTGTCATCTTGCCTATTGCGTTTCTGCCGGTTTTTACGTTTTTACATCTTTACTTGCGTCAATTTGCCATTAATCTCCTTTATTCACACAAAATAGTCTTTATAAAGACTCGTCGGTGTATTCTAAAGATAGTCAGGTGAGTAATTATAAAATTTTATACACGATTTTTACATGCCTGTTTTTAGGGTTATATTATTCGCGATCAAGAAAAGTTGTACGCAAACATGAATGTCGCCGGTGCTGCTTTCTCTCCACCGAAAAAACGTTTTGCCAAGCACTTTTCAGTTGAAGACAAAACTGGCATTTTAAATATCTTCAAGGCATATTCGGAAGACAACCCGGAGGTATCTAAAACGGATAAAGTTGAGTTTACGGCTAAAGCAGCAGGTAATTTTCATCTTAGGCACATTCATTTTTACTTATTATTGTGTAATTTAGGTGTAAGCATTCCGAGACATTGGCCCAAATTTTGTAGGAGTGGCTTAACTATTTCTGTTGGGTGAACGAACTTTAGTAACATGAAGCCGTGACAATTACAGGTGACACTGTCAAAACAGTATAATTAATAATTATAGCACGGAGTGTACCGCGTCGTTTTGAAGGTTTTATATTGGCCAGTTTGGAATTTAGCTCCAATATGGCGACCGGAACCAACGACCAATCAAAAACGAGATACCCTGTTGTCGCCACTGTCTCTATAAAGTCACTGTACTCAATACCAACAAACATTTATGGTGTGACGCGTTCACGACCGCCATTCAAGACAAGATGCCAAACGTAATCCACGTTCGTGCTCTTCAGATGGCGCAAATCGGTTTCCTCTACTAAAAATTGCGTGGTTGTCAACTCTCAAAAATGTTTGCATCGTCGTAAGTTGTATATACAGGGTGGAACCCCTCAAACCTTAAAATTAATTATTTCCAGTGTTATGAAAAATTAACGAACACCATAATTTCATTATATGTAGTATTGATAAGCTCTCATTGAAATTTCGTGGCTCTATGTTGAACGGATCCGGAGTAAAAAAATAAGTAGTGGAGCCGCGCACGGATTTTCCATAAGCCGTAATGTATTCCTCCTAAGGTCACGTGACTTTTCGAGCGCTCCGGAATGGCTCCGGCCTGTAAGTATCGTAGGCCTCGACTTTACGCCTTACTTATGTAAAGTTGACGTTCACTCATTAATATAAACATTAATTGGGGGGTTATGAATGCAGCGTAAACACGGTTTTTTTATAAGGCTAGTAGGAAGGTTCATTATGTTAACCACAAACAGCATAGAGCTCCTTGGCTTTGACATTTGACATTGGTTTTCATTTTCAAATCAAATCTATTTGTGTGTTTCGTTAAGTAAAATGATGTAAATTTTTAATCGATGGTATAGTCTCATTTCTTATTTTTACATCGTGTACCAAAATTTAATTTTAGGACAATTTAATAGAAGAAACTCGGAAGCTCTCCAACACTCTAAATATATGGGAATTTGGCTCAATCTTGCAATTATTTACAAAACATGAAGACAAGGAACCAATAGAGCGCCGTTATTTAGTTTTAGGAGACTATTTTGGATCAATTCCATCTCAAGATAGTGCAACTTGTCAGCGAGAAGCCGACATTATAAAAGAGATTTTCCCACAAATCGACAGAGGATATATTGTAAAGTTATTAGAAATTATAGGCAATGAAGAAAATCGCATTCGAATTATTATAAAACTTCTACTTAGAAGGGTAAATAAAATTCGCAAGCGAGCCAATAATGATATGGACTCTGTCAGTCAATCGCCGACAAAAAAAGTTAAATTAAATGGTAATATCCGAGAAGCTTCTGTTGCATATTACAATTTTTTTCCTTAGACGAACTTGATGTTTCGTATTCTACTGCTGGTGAACCTTCTACCTCTAAAGTGCAAACTACCTTACCCCGCCACAATGTGCTTGATATAAACCAGCCGTCTACTTCTAAGGCACCTGAAGTTCCACTGCTATGTGATTGGCTTGGTACAAATCAGCCTTCCACATCTAAATCACGAGAGAATTCAACAGTGGTTAAAATAGATGATGCTAAATTGCCCGAATTATCAGTGGTTGATGAAGTCTCGCATTTGTTTCAGCTTCCTACAGCCACTAACAGAGGTAGTTATGACAATCAAACATTGCAAAGATACAGATAGTGTTTTAGATAAAGTTGCTGAGTGGTTAGATATTGTTGACGCACCTCCAGCGGTAGAATCAAGTCAACCTAAAGAAGGTAAGGAGTCATAAACGTTTCATAGATATTTAATTGTTTAATTATACAAAATAAAAACTTTATTTATTTACCTATTCTTTTAAATTATAATTGAGGTATTCTTTTCAAACTGAATCCGCTATAGTAAGTTGCGTTATTCATTTTAGTTACCCCAATACTGTTAAATACGATTTAAATGTGTATGTTAGTCAAATTCAAAGATTTTAATGAGTTTATTTTCATATCACCAATTAGCAAAATATTCGTGTTTATTATTTTTTATACGTTTCAAAGAATATTACACTATGTGTAAGCAGAGAATGAAGTGTGCGAAATTCAGGTCAATTTGCTGCAAATCCTATGTCACTAATTCCAGTGGCTTCGATACTTACTAATGGACTGGGTCTATTCATAAAATTCTGAACAAGTTCTTCCATACAAGGTTTTGTGGACAAACACAATCTTAGAGTTAAGTGGACGTCAGAGATGGTGGCACAGAAGATCCACAGCAATCTCCAGACTTGACTCCCCTTGATTTGTTTCTTTAAGGCTTGGGGACATTTTTTTAAATTTATTTTAATTATTGTCCCTCCCTTGTTTTGGGCTCTCAACAGTCTTGCAGTAATGCTTTTTTTTCAAAACGGTAGTGTATAAAACTCCACTCTCTGACAGCTCCTAATATCTTTCTTATATAGCCTTAGGTTTACCTCATAGTCCTCCCAATTACCTATAGTTTTGTTCTTCTTTGCCTTATTGAACAGTTTGCTCAACTGAATTTTCTGCTTTTCGAGCGACCTACACCACTTGGTCATCAAATGTTTATGTTTCCGTTTAAAAATGTGCTTTATTTGCTCAAGAGTTGTGCACAATTTATACTTGTTTTAAATTAATTCTAACTAGACCATCCAAATTTGATGTGGGTATGTTTGTGAAGAGAATTTTATGGTCGGTGGGGAGCGCATGTTATAATTTTAAAGTGGGTGTAGCTTGGGGTAAATGCTAAAAGTTATCTAAAAGGACGTGTTTTTGTAATTTTTGATTTTTTATAAAAATTACAATCTGTGGTTCATTTTGAAATGAAAGCCCTGTGTACGGGGTGTCGCATCGAACATAATTAAAAGCAAAATTGTGCACAATAGTTCTGATCGCCAGTACCGTGCTATATTCCAGTGGCATATCAAACTTATGTTTTTTTAAATGGACTACATATTTTTTTTTAAAGGTTTGACTGTTATGGTCATTTGCCTTTATTTCTTAACTAATCACTGTAACTATTTGCCTTTAAATTCTTTTTATTGGCCCCGTTATTTTTAAATATTCCATTAAAGTTTCTATTGCACACTTCTCATCACGAAAAATTTCTCGTTCCGTTTCTGGTATACCTACTTGCATTATTCTCTGTATGTTATACGTTGGGCATTCACAAAGAACATGTCTGACACTCAAATAGATATCACATTTGTTGCATTTCTGTTGTGGGCTGTTTCCTAATAAATGTAAATGTGTTAAGTTTGTGTGACCGATTCTTATTCTTGATAACGCAACTTGTTCCCTTCTACTTCCGTAGTACTTATTTTCCAATGGGATAATGATTGGCATGATTTCCTTTAGGTGAGTATCTACATTATTCCATTCCGTCTGCCATGTGTCTTTGTTTCCATGGCTATGAGAACACATCAATAACCGAGTCAATAACACATGCCAGATTGCGTAAAGTTTGGCCGTAAATACACTTGCCTGTTTATGTAAAGTCCAGGAGCAAGGATGCTATATAATATAAGGATTGCTCGATCACTGAATTTTTTCGCCGCGTGTAGTGACGTCAATAGCGGACCCCGACGCACCGCATGCTTTGATTTTTCGATTTGTGCACCACTTTCATTTGTATTTTATATTATTGATTCTAAGAGCTCCTTCTCACGATGCTTTTTTGAAACGCTGCAGAATGGAACTTTTCTTCGAAAAAAAGATAGGTTATGCGGAAATCCATTCCTCCCGATGAGAAATTAGCTTTATTTCTCAGATGAGTAAGAACTGAAATTTATTACAAGTCTCTGATGTACAATTTCTGTTATAATTTTGCAGTTTTCAACACCGTGCTACAATGGTTTTTACCACACAATATGAAGTGTTTAGCCTAATAGTGCTTCGCCTTCCTTCAAAGGTCGAACTACAACCCCCACATATCAGTAATAACAATCTTAAACATAACAAACCTAGCTTTATATACAAAATATCAGTACACAAATATGTACGCTCTTCACTAAGGTAAATGATACACAAGTAAATCAACTCTCCTCAAACCAGACACCATTTTTTAAAAAAACGACGTCCTTTCTTGGTATGTGCGCTTTTGTTGCGTGAAGGCGCTTCTGAAAATCGCTTCACTTGTGGCGCTGCAAATCGCATTGTGTGAAGTGGTCACGCTACCAGCCGCTTCAAAAAACGCCTGGTAAGAAGGGGATCTAATACGTCCAAGTGGATGTTGTAGGTAGGTATTTAAATTAGAAACATTTGTCATTCATCGTCTACAAGTTTACAAATTCTCCTTCGGTTTTTCACATAAATGTCGTGAACCCATCTCATCCTGCGTTTTCGGTTTTTTTGCTCTTCATCATCCATGGAAATTGCAGCTAAATCAGTTTATTAAACTTTGTCCATCTTAAAATATCGATTTCTCGACGTTGACGTTTGACACTGGCTAAAATTAGCACCAGTTGAGTGTAAAATGTGAATACTACCTCAAATTATTATTACAGTCCAATATTGCACGTCGGCGTCCAAGCATTTTTGTTGCAATATAGCGAACACTAAATACACACAGTTTTAACGCTAATGCAAAAATGTTGACAACTTAGCAAATTATAACTGTCAATTCTGACAGCCAGGTCCGTTGGTGACGTCACATATGACTTAAACGCGGGCAACATTACAAGTATAGGGATCGAGCAATCCTTATATTATATAGCATCCTTGTCCAGGAGTATGTTTTTCCGTAGGTATGAATGGCGCTTCCAGTACCTACCTATTGTCGTTTTAGATCCATCTGTGCATATGGCTCGGTAATCATAAAATTTGTTTTGAATTTCATAAAATGAAGTTTGATATACTTTATTCGGTGTAGTATCCTTAGGAAATCTTTCAAGGCTTAGTATAATATCATCCTGTCTGATTACCCATGGTGGGTATTCCGAAATATGATGTTGGAATACATCAGGTTGATTAGGGATATTTGTATCCATAAAGTATATGGCCCTAGCAGTACTTGGTTGGCACATGGTAGGTCTTGCATGAAATAATCTGGCAGTGATTTGGTAGTTCAAATGTTCTGGGAGCGATAAAACTTTCAGGTAATAGTTAGTAAGGATCTTTTTCCTTCTCAGATACAAAGGAGGGATACCAGATTCTACATGTAGCGGTGAATGTGGGCTCGTTCTAAAAGCACCTAGTACCACCTTAAGACCGTTTGCATGAATTCTATCTAATACTTTTAGATGTGATGGTCGAGCTGAGGGGTAAATGATGCATCCATAATCGTAGATAGGTAGTATGTACGTTTTATACAGCACCAGGAGTGTATTTGTTTCAGCGCCCCAATTTATATTAGCGATACATTTAATGTTATTTAGCCGTCTTTTGCACTTCGCACTAAGATATTCAATGTGGTCCCTAAAGTACATTCCCCTATCGAAAATCATTCCCAGAAGGCTTATCGTGTTTTTTATTTGAATCAGTTTTCCTTTAATAAATAGTTGTGGTTCAGCGTATTCTGTTCTCAAGCGGCAGAAGTGAATACCTGCTGTCTTTTCTCTAGAGAAAGTAAGTTTTCTATCTTCAGCCAATGTCACCACGTTATCTATTACTTCTTGTATTCGACCTTCCAATTCCACCATAGAACTTGAACTGCTAAATATCAATAAAACGTCTACGTAGAGTACCTTATGTACAGTATCTGGAATGGAGTTAATTATGTCGTTAATTCCATTGAGAAAAAGCGTTACACTTAGGACAGATCCCTGGGGTATACCATTCTCCAATTTACATAATGTAGATTCTACCTGATTTAGCCTAACTGTAATATATCTTTCTTCCAAAAAAGATAGAATAAAGTTTGCCAGGTTGCCTCCACATTTCCATTGACGCAACTTTTCGATTATACTGTGGCGGCACATGGTGTCATATGCTTTTGAGATATCAAAGGACACTGCAACCGTATGTTGTCTCTTAGCAAAGCCTTTAAACATTTCGTGTTGTAGGTTTACTAACTGGTCGGTTGTAGAGTGAAACCTCCGGAAACCTGTTTGGAACTTAGATATCTGTCTATTATCTTCTAAAAACCACATTAATCTTTCATTCACCATTCCTTCTAGTATCTTGCTCATGTTACTCGTTAGAGATATTGGTCTATAGTGTTTAGGATCAGATATGTCTACCAGGTTTAGGTATGGGAATTACTACTGATCTTCTCCACTGTGGAGGGTATATACCAGTTTGATAAATCTTGTTGAAAAGGTAGAGAAGGTCTTTCTTTTGGACAAGAGATAGATTTTGCAACATAGCGTAAGTGACATTATCTGGGCCAGGTGATTTGTCTGTTTTTTGCTTTATTATGGTTTCCAGTTCTTCGATGGTAAAAGGTTTGTTGTAATTATGCATGTGATCTTCAAAACGCGTAAAAGGGAGAGGAGTTTGATTAACGTCTTGATCTGCGTTGCAAATTAAACGAAAACTTACAGACAATGCTTCCGCTATTTCTTTGGGGTCTTCTACAGTTTGACCTTGTATTTTTAGTACTCTTGAGGGTTTCTCATAGGTTTTCCCCATTATACCTCTAACCTTTCTCCACACTTCAGCTGTGGGTGTGTTAAGGTTTATTGATTTTATATAGGTTTCCCATGAAAGCTTTTTACTTTGAATAACTGCACGGCGTGATTCTGCTCGTGCCTTTTTAAACGCTACAAGTTTTTCAACTGTACCTATGATTGCGTTTAAAATCTTTAAGGGCCTTGTTCTTGTTTAAAATTACCTTTTTTAGTTCTGCATTCCACCAAGGTACATGAACTGGTTCCATTTTCCCACTAGTTTGAGGTATACAAACGGTTGCTGCATTTATAATGTTATCTATGAATTGTTTAACCATATCTGGTACATTGCCCGAGCTTTGAAATAATGACTTGTTTAGAATTTCAGAGTATTGCTCCCACTTGGCGTTTCTGATTAACCATTTCTTTGGTCGTATTTCAACGGCTCTTTTATTTGTCAAGAATAGGTTAATTGGATAGTGATCGTTGTCTTGTAGATCGTCAAGTACTTTCCAAGATGGTGTTGAGAAAGAAAGATCTATGGCAATGATACGGCCTCCTCTATCTGTTGAATCTGACCCCCACATTATTGAATGTGCATTAAAATCTCCGAGAAGTACATATGGAGCCGGGAGTTGGTGCAGGACATTTTCTAAATCATTTAAGTTCCAATTAGGGTTTGGGAGATAAATATTGCAGATTGTTGTTTTTAAAGGCGCTTCTACTGCAATTTCTTGCTTGCAGGGTTCTTTTGTAGGTATTTCTGATTTTATATACCTACAGTGTGTCCCAGATCGCGTGGGATTGCATGGGTAACTTTGTTATTATTAAAGATAGAGAATTGGTTAAATGGGCAATGTTTTGCAGTTTTGGATGCTTATTTAAAATTTCCTTATGGAAATTCAAAATGTCGCATAGGTTCGACGTAAATTCAAAAAAACTAAAATTGGTCATTTCCTTGAATGTCTTATATCATCGAAAGTATAAGAGATATAAAAAAAAGTTTTATATAAAAGTGACTGTCTTTGATACGCTTAATTTAGAATTGATGTCAAAAAAAAATTTAAGATGGCTACTTTTGAGGAACATTTACCAACTTCCTAAAGTTAAATGGGCGCCATATTGGATTTTTAGATTACTTGATAGATTTTTTAATTCTCTTTTCAACGAGCCATCATAACATAAGATTGAAAATAAGATACCAATTATATTAACGGTTTTTGTATTTTAATCAAGTAGTCTGTGACGAATAAAAAAAAAACAAAACAAAATCTATTCGAGGCAACAAAACATGAAAATAATTACACCAGATGTTTCAAATACTGGCCATTATTAGTGAAACACACTTCAAGACAGTTTAGTTTAGGCAACGTGTTGCCATTGATGATTATTATTATTATTGTAGTGGTAGCTACTTCCACTATACTTTTATTTTTTAATTAAGTACTTACTTTTATAATTTAATGTACTGTACATAATTCGTGAATTGTGACCTGAGCAGCCAACTTGTTGGTAGGTAGCATAAACCAACCCTTTCTTCGAAACATACGTTGTCGAGAAAAATCCTTTAAGGAAGTTTATTGGAGAATTTGTAAATCATGGTGAGCAGTTAAAGATCCAACGAAGATTACATGACTTCCCATTATGCCATAAAATACATTAATTTAAAAAAAATATTACTTGATTTCGGCGTGAAACTACACATGTAGGTTTTCCTGTGACGAGTAAGTGTTCATTATGTCGATTTGAACACTCCGCAGTTAGAAAAATAAGATTCATCTGTCCATATACTCGGACTGGTAAAACTGTTAGTTTCGATATTCTTGCGGATAAATCACCTACAAAATATGACCTGGGACAATGTAATACATTGTGTAAAATAAAGCGAAGTGTCTTGAAATGTGTTTAACTGTATAATGGCATGACATTTTTTCGAGGGGATAGTTTGTAGTTATACCACCATTTGTAGGTATGTAAGTATGGATAATAAGATAGTCAATAAGTGATGTTATAAAAATCAAAATTTTTCTAGGCCTACTTATATAAAATTTTGGAGGGAGTTGTAGTGTCCAAACCCCCCTCTCATGAGTGCGCCCCTGATTTTTTAAACATCTGATGTAATTATTTTCATTGTTTTGTTGGCTCGATTAGATTTTGTTTTGTTTTTTTAATTCATCACAGCCTACTTGATTAAAATATAAAAACCGTTAATATAACTGGTATCTTATTTTCAATCTTCGTTCGGCGGCTAAACACAGGCGCGCCATGAAAAGTAATACTTCTCCTCCACATAAAATAATCTACTATTCTCTCCTGGACTCCATTACACGGGTAAATTTGTGGATATCGTTATGTTTGTAAAAAGTATTACATACTCGCATATTATTTAATTAGCAGAATTGAATAATACGTTGCCCATTACCATTCAATGCCCTTTCCCCGTAAGCACCCACCAGATACCCTTGTTCATTACTTATACCTACTCGGCCATTTAAATCCCCAATTATCATACACCTTTGTTTCACTCTGTCCGTTTCATCCTGCAAACAGTCCCAAAAATCATCCTTAATTTCCTTACACTCCTTTTCCGTAGGGCCGTATGCAATAAGAATTGACCACATGTTACATTGACTATTATCATTAATATCAATCCTAAGCAGCCTATCTGTTATTACTTTCCAATACTTCACTTTGTGAAACCAATTCCTATGAATAAGTGCACCTACCCCTGCTTGTGCTCGCTCCGTCTCCTTACTCCTCCAAAAATCAAATAGTGCCCATTTTTTAACTTAATACATCCTTCTCCTTTCTTTTTTGTTTCTGTTAGTCCTATTAGTTTCATGTTTGTCTTTTCAAATTCGTCGATAATCTCGTCCTCCTTTGTGTTCAGGCTTTGCGTATTCCATAACCCAAATTTCCATGTTTCGTTCCCTGCTATTTTTATTTGTCTTTGATCTTGATTTAATTGCTGTTCTGCACCCCTATTAATTGCCGTTTTCGCCTTCCCCCTTTCCGATGTTTGCCTATTCTCATAATATTTGTTACGTTTGATTGAATACCTATTTCCTTTCTCGTTTCCATTTCGCATTGCCATGGTTGTCGTCTTTCCTATCTGTTGAGAAATGCCTGTCAGTTTTTTGATAGGCATCCCAGACTTAATGTCCTCTTTGACGATATCTCTTGCGGTGACCTTTGACTTATGGTTCTTCCCTTCTTAACCATATCCTCACCGCCTTCCTGATGCTCCTCAAATAGATCTTCCACTCCGTACTCCTCTCCATTTACTATTAATTTATTAAATTTTAGGTACGCACGATGCCCAGTTTCCTTTGCTTTTCTCATATGGGGGTTCAGTAATTTTCTTTGCTCAATTACATGGTTATATTATATTATATTAGGGAAATCCTCCGTTATAAACACGTCCGTGCCTCGCAAATTCTTTGTCATCTTCAGGATTTGCAATTTTACTTCAAACGTACTCAATTTCATAAATATCGGCCGATTTTTCTCGCTTGGTTTCTACCAATGCGTCCTATTTGTTGGATTTCGGATTCTATGATTGCGTTTACACCTATATCCCTTAGCACGATTCGTATCTTTTCTTTTAAGTGTAGATCGGTTTCATTTTCCATCTCCTTTACTCCATGGACTATCAGATTATATTTCCTGGCATCTTTCTCGAGGAAATCCATTCTTTTATTTTGTTCGGTTACCATTGTTTTGGGTTTTTCGTTCTCGGATTTCAGAGCCCGATTCTCGTTTTTCATTTCCTGAATTTGTCTCTGGCAGTCGTCTAATTTGTTTTCAATACGCTCCGATCTTCTATTCAAATCTTCTAGTTGGAATTTAATGTTTTCCAGTATAACTTCCATTATTACGAGTTATTTACGATTGCTGGGTTTGTTGATAAACAGCGCGCGTTATCTTATTATAACCAAAATAAAAAAAATAAAATAAAATAAACCTAATATATAAATTTCTACTTACAGTACAATGGGTGTAAAAATTTCTCACTCAGGCCCTGCTTTACACCTGACACTTTCTTTACAGGTTAACAGTGCTAAATAACTCTTTATCTGTATTATATATCACTTCTTGAAAAAAAGCATCGACAATTGGTAAAACACGGTATTTTAATAGTGCTTTATTTTGCAATGAATTAAACGATTCACAAAACAAATACATAGGTACAATACGTTACTACCCTAATATCAATACTTTTTCGATCTTCCTATTTTTCCCGCCTGCTTCTTTTTTGCTACCCTTGATTATTCACGGGATTTTCCACACTTCTATCACTAATAATTAATATTTAATTGCACAGCGTGACTGGATCGTATTTACGATTTAACGCGCCGACGCGACTCCAGATCCAGAGTAAAAAAGAAATAATGGAAGTTGTGACCTTTCGAGCGCTCCAGCCTGTAACTATCGCAGGCTTCGGATCAGCGCATGCGCGCTCGATAAAAAAATTGCGAGTCATATAGTAGTACTGTTCTAATGTTGAAAGCCCTAATTTATAAAAGGCGTCTAAGCGAATGGCTGATAGTTATGCCGACCTTAACATTTATAGCAGCACTTTTAGCTCTGTTTCAATTTAACATAGCAAATTTTTCTGTAAGTGAAGCGGTAATATTTGACTTTAGTGCCACCACATTTTATGTTATTAAAAATTTTCTTATTTAAACTTATGCCCATGCCAAAACTGCCTTCATATTCTAATAGTTTCTATCATTTCAGACGTTACGCCATTCCATCTGCATAAACATATTCAGGAGATGTTTTCAAATATTTCCATAAAATATATAAGGACTCTATGTAAAAGACTAAACCTAAATAAGCACGAGCGACCTCCTGAAGAAGTGATGGATTTCATAATCTCAACATTGGTAAACAATACTTTGTACGATGGAGATGAAGATGAAGATGAGGAAGATGAAGATGAAGATGAGGAAGTTGAAATAAGTAAGTAATTTAAAAAGAAAAATGGTTCGGTTATATTGTCTTTTATTGTTATAGCGAATGTGACAACCCAGGAACCTACAAAATCCAAGTAAGTCCTAAGATATCAATTGAAATTATTCTTGTCATGCACATAAATTTTTCCTACTGTAAAACAACAGCACGCATCTTCTCACAACAGTTGGGAAATGCACAAAGTACACTCCTGCCAGAATGTATGGGGGAAACAGTGAAACCTGCACTTACTAAAACTTTTCTTCCTTCCGTTCTGTTTGTATGTTGAACGGGCATTTTTTGACTGACAAGACCAATTGTGCTGTTTTGGTCTGTTGATTCTGTTACTATCATTTTTAGCGCATTTCCACAAAAATAAAAAAAAATGCGCTATTGTGCCCACTTTGTCCGTCCGTCCGTCCGCTCGTTTTGAGACGCTACTAGTTTTTTATCTTAAGAGCTATTGTTCTACTTTTTTCGCTATTTGGTTCGTTATGGTGTCGAGTCTTGCACCAAGGAAGGAATTTTTTCTATACCGCTTACAAAAAAAGTTATTGTAAAAAAAACCGTTTTTTACATGTTTCATAATTTTACACTTTTCCGTTTATTAACGATCCTAGAGATCGTTTATAATTTTGCATTGCTGTGTGTCATCTGCCTGTTGGTCTGTCCGTCTGTTCCTTCATCTGTCTGTCCCTCTATCTGTCCGTGTGAAGGATAACTTTGTTTAGAAATGTCCGATCGCTTACACATCCGTTAGTTATGAACTGAATTGCATGAAATACGCAATGCCAGAAGTTGAGTCGAATCGATTCAAAATTCACAGTGCCCTTTTCGCATCTCGACCATTTATAAATCGAATTGCAAACTTTTTTAATTATAAAAGTATTTAAATGAAATTTGATACATAGCCACTTGGAATAAAAGCAAATTTAACGTCAATTTCAAAATTTGGTTTTGCGCATGCGCAGTGCCAACTTTTTTATTTATGGAAGCATTTAAATGAAATTTGATACATAGGCACTTGGAATAAAGGAAAATCTAACGTTAGCTTCAAAATTTAGGTTTGCGCATGCGCAGTTCCAACTTTCTTATTTAGAAAAGCATTGAAATGAAACTCTTCTTATAAACTGAAATTGAAGTAGCACGTCAAAAATGGATTACACATGTGCAACGCTATCTTTCATATTTGTGGCCGGATTTTTTACAATTTTAACAAAAGTTGCATCTTACAAATAGGAAATGAATGCAAGTGGAAATGCGCTTTATGTAAATTTTTGTTTACGATTACTTTTTAACTTGTTTGTGATCACACATTTTAGTTCTGTGAAACTGGGGGTGTTTTATCATTGTTTATAACAGTTTGTTCTTAAAAATGTTAGATTACAAATTGTGATGAAAGTTTTATCATTTACAAGTGTTTGAATGACAGATGACTGAAACTTGAATTTTGTTAATTAAATTTGCTCTTCAAGTTAAACTTTGTCATGTGTGCGAAATACTTTTTAGCGCATTTTTTAAGAATTAAAAAAAATGTGCTACTGTTTGCGTTTTGTCCGTCCGGACCCACTTCTGTCGTTTTGAACTACTTCTAGGGGAATGGTCCTTGAGTCCTGGAATTTTTTGCAGTAGGTAGCCTATACCTTGAAGGTGTGCCAGACGAATTATTCCTGAGATGTTGTTTTTGAAAGTAAAATGTGCATAACTTTTACATACGACAACCAATTGGTCTCAGATTTTGCATACGTATGCCTTTAATGGTGCCAAGTTAAACTTTAGTAACTGGGCGGGGGGGGGGGGTAAACACATGTGTTACCCTTCATGTTATTCTAATGAAAGGTCTCATCGAAATAAATTGGTTTGTACCGACTATAACTTTCCCACGCTACTATTTTTCGAGATCAGTGAGCGACGGGGCCGGGAGGGGGGGGGCTTAAAAATTATTGTATTCTAATTAAGGGTCTCAACGAAAGGAACCGTTTTCTACCAACTACTGCCCTTCTTTCTGTCCTCTTATCAAAGTACGGGCTAGAGGGGGGGGGGGGGGGGAGTGGAAATAGTTTTATCCTTCATGGTACTCTAATGAAATGTCTCAACGAAAGGAATTAATTTCTACCAACCATAGCTCTTCTCCTCGAACTCTTATCGTGATCGGGTATATTCCCTTATCCTCAAGAACGGGTTGTCGGAAGAGGGTACTCACAAAGGGCGATTGAAACGTCTGCAAGAAATATATCCATTGATGACCGATGTCAAAACAAGAGCTATTTCGGTTTAAAAAATGCGCTTTATCTGCACAAGACCTGTGCACAATTTATACTTTTTTTATTATACCTGAATCACAATCTCCGTTTTAAACACTCAAATGCGTGCGAAAAAAGGCCTTTAAAACACACGTGCTTTAAAGTTGCTAAGTAACGATACTTCAAGTATGACTTTTGAAACTGTCATCTGGGACTGAAAGAAAAAATTTTCTTAGGTCGCTTTCTGTAAATGCAGAACATTTCTTTGGCTTTTGTACCTATCCTTTGGTTGAAGCTTTCACAAACGCGCGTAATTTAGGGTATGCTTCCAAATCTGTTCCACTTTTTAATCGCAGTATTGCTTTGAAGTTTTGAATGAATGCACCAAAATATAGAAGATTTAAATACCTTTGACATTTCCTTCATATATGCCAGCATTATCGATGCATTTAAGACTGTATTCGTAAGTAACTTCCTATTCATCCATGGAAACAACTTTTCATATTCTTTATAATAGGCTTTACTGGAGTTGGATTTTACACCTACCAACGTTTGTTTAGATTTTACAACAACCGATTTAATGGACGGTGTATTATCTTTTTCAATGGAAATCGTTTAATTTACCAAGACGATGATTTTTATAAGCAAACGTCAAGTGACATTTCCATGGCAATCGTGAAATTACGAACACCCAGCCCACTTAATTAGACATGTATTCAAGTATAACGTCAATATGACTTCATTGTATTTCCTATTTTTAAATTATACTGCAGGTATAATAAAAAATACTATAAGATACACGTGTATAATTGGTCTTTAAAGCACTTGCAACGTTAAAGGCACTCCGCTTTGCGTCGTGCCCTTAAACTCGTTGCGCGTGCTTTAAAGACTTGATTATACACTTGTATCTTAATATACTATTTTCACTAAGTCAATAGTATTCGAGTTATTTGCGAGTGAAAATGTTCATTTTTCAACAAAAAAACCACATTTTCAGACGGTTTTTCGCAAATAACTTTAAAAGTAAGTATTGTATCGAAAAAATATTCTTAGCAAAAATATAGCTTATAAACAGACAAACAAAATGGTCTATATATGAAGTCTGTAGACCCAGTAGAAGCAAAGTTGTAGCTCATGAAAAGTAGGTTCTCATTCGTCAAACTCCAAATCGAGTACTTCAACGTGAAATAACTGAAAAATGAAGCACTTTTTGGGAAAAACGTATGAATACTTTTTTAAAGTATTTGAAAAAACCTTTCTTTTTGTTTTAGAAAAGTTAAGAAAAGTTCCTAGTATCAAAACTAAGTGAGTTACGATCAAAATAAAGTTGGTCCTTTTTTTTGGTAAAAAAAATCGATGAAATCACCCTCTAAGTAGCACCCCAATTGAAATTAAGCGTTACCGCTTTACAGTTTACTTTATTTATGTATTGTTTATATGATCTGTAAGTTTGACCGGTGCAAAGTGCTTATTTTTGAAAAAATGTAGTTTTGAAGTAAAAAAAAATTTTGAAATTTTAAAAAATTGCCTTTTTTTCAAAGTAACTTCAAAAGTATTAGTGCTACGAAAAATTTACAAGAATAAAAAAATGTAGCTTTTGCTTTTCTGAACGTTTTGCTTTTTTTTTGTAAAACCAAAATTGGTTAAGATATGGCTGTTCAAAGTTTGCATACACTCGTCATTAGTGACTCATTCGAACCCTTTCAACTACAACCTTTTCAAAAATAAGGGTTTAAAAAAAATTAATTTGAATAATCTTATACAAAATGGTTTTTAATTTAATTTTTTATTAAATACATGTAAGTTATAATGTAAAATAGGTGTTAAATAAGTATCAATTGTAAAAAAAAAATAAAATTCTATGAAGTTGTTGCAAAAAAAAAATGGTTTTTTAAAGCACTTCGTAGGTTAAAAATTAACCGATTTATGAGGCACAGACATACTTTCACCCATCCTTACAAACTATATACAGGGTGGTGACTTGCGTAACGCATCATAGGGATTTCAATGTAAAATTTGTAACATGCGATTATTGGCTCCCCAAATTATTTTAGAGCAAAAATGTATTAAGGTTTTTTGTAGAAAAAAATTTTTTACGTCAATCAACCGTATTGGTTTTCAATTTTTTGCATAATAAAGACGGAAAATTGGAAAAATAAAACTCCCATCTTTTTCAATAATCTGTGATGCCATGGAATTTTATAATACAAAAACGACGCCATTATCCTTCATGCCATGGAATTTCTGCTATAAAACAAATCAAATTCTATGAAAAAGTTATTATATTTAGAACAGCGAATTCAACATAAAGAAAGACCAAACTACTAAAAACGGTTTCCTAATATAACAATTTACAATAAATGTTCGAATAAGTCACCATTAACTGCAATACAGTAACCAAGTCGATCATAAAAGCCATTTCGAACTGCTGCTAATTGTTAACTGGATATCTTTTTGTTTTAGAAAATTCCATGGCATCGCAGATTATTGAAAAAGATGGGGGTTTTATTTTTCCAATTTTCCATCTTTATTATGCAAAAAATGGAAAACTAATACGGTTGATTGATGTAACAAATTTTATTCTACAAAAAACCTGAATACATTTTTGCTCTAAAATATTTTGGGGAGCCAATAATCGCATGTTGCATATCGCATATTGCAAGTCGCATGTGGTGTATTGTAACCTCACAAGTTAACAATACACCACACTATCACATTTCTCAACATTATCCGAGACATAATCATTAGAAAATCAACACAACCACGATCATTCGACTTATTAGATGTTTAATTGTATTTCAAATTTCAAATAATTTTGACGCCAAGGTCCGAAGATGCTACATTAATAGATAGCGAAATCGATAACCTAAAGGAAAATATATTTTAATTACTTACCTAATACCTATTAATTAAATAATTGCATGGTTTATTAATTTTGTCAGTCGACATATATTTAACGTCAAAGATTGAGTTTTTTTAAATATTGGTGAACAGATTCAGGGCACCAAATTTAGTAAGTGTTTTAAATTTTAATAGTACAAGTTGTATTCTGATCTTATTTTGACATATTATAGAGAATAAATCTTCCCTTACTTTGATATTGTGACTATTAGTCTGGGGGATTCAAATCTAAACAGTGCCACCTGAACCAACCAGTAATCAATACGACGACTGGTCGCGACTACGACCAACAACACATGCTATTTCAATAGGAATATTCCCTGGAATATTCACATTTGACGGTCAGGTCACGGTCAGAACATGCTCATAAGAAATACAAGCTACAATAATTGACCGGACTGAGATCTGACGGTGACGTGACCGATACTGTGAATTGGCCTGAATAACAAAATTTCCTCAAAGATTTCTCTCTCGAGTTGCTGTCTGATAGTACTGTCGAGGTGTAAATACCACCGTACGTGAACGCACCCATTGATTGAATTCTGAAAAATCAAAGCATGTGATTGGCATGCATGAACACCTTATGGTCTCACTTGCATCCGCATTTCCCTAGGATTGTGAGCTCCTTTCATATTTACACCTATTTGGTCCAGTTTGGTTCCCAGCCCACTTTGCCTCCATCCCCAAGTTGACGGATGTGGAGGGCATTCAGTAGGATAAAAGCAGTGCCCCCACAACACATGACCTGCTTGATTGGGGACAGGAACTGCAGTAATTTATTTTTGGTACAAAATAAATATTTTCCCACATTAGTAGTGGATTTCTCCGGAGTTTCGGGGTCATAGAGAACGGTAGAAAATTCTTGCAAAGTTTTAATTGTTTTTTTTCTGTTATTCCTCTTTGTGAATTGGAGAGTTCAAGTAAAGCTGGTGTCACGTCCGGGCGTTTCATCCAAGTCATAAACGCCTTCTTGTTTCCAATAGAATTGAAGCAGGGCGTTGTGGCATAACCTGTGTAACAATGAAAGCCCCGTAGGGCTTGTGAATTTTCTTCTCCAAGTGCTAATACATTAAAATGGGTCGCTAGATATCGACGCTTGGCCCCAACACCTGTCAGATATCCTTCTTTCAGGTCGAGTTCTTTCAGAAAAAACAAAACAAAATATATATGACCATCAGAACGTCAGTATCTCAAGACTGGACGAGGATGTTCTGGGCTCCATGCTCCACCATATCTTTCGCATGGAGGATGATTCGCCCGTCCGCCTCTTCTTGCGTAACTTGTATCCCATCAAAAGGGAAAGCGTTCTCAATTGTAGGAAAATGCGGCTGCAAGTCAACTTGTGAGACGATGAGGTGTTCATGCTTACGAAACAGCCTTCCCTGCACCCTACAGAGTTCTAACTGCCAAGAACACGGCAAAAATCTCAGCCGAGTATATTGTACATGCTTATTATAAACATGACTGTGAGCGTTTTATTTTTAATGATTATAACTAAATATTATTTATAGCTTGACTGCAACAGGAAATCTATGATCAGGCATTTCCCTTTGATGACTGATGAGTTTTTACTTGTAAATACGTTTCAATAATCAACAATTTTTAGTTAAAAACAGGATTCAATGAAGAAGTTTCAGTTTTGCACTTAGTCAACCTCGATCTGTTTATTCAAAATACATAAAAATTCATAAAAAAAAAGGCCTTTAATGGGTCTTTTTTGGTAATCTTCGCCCAAAAGAATCTCAGAAACGCCACCTCAACTACGAAAATCGGTCAAAACCTCTGAATCTTGTCAGACGTTAAAGATATCATACAATTGGCCTACATATGATAAATGAAACATGCTTCCCACTAAGAAATTAGCTTTGGATATCATTTTTGTGATATTCACCGTCGGAAACCTCGTAAACGTCACCTCAAACGTAAAAATCGCTCTAAAAACATATACAGGGTGTCCCTAAAAGGTCTGTACAACGCGCTACCAGGTGTTCTTGGTATTAAAATAGGACGATTTAACCCAACTTACCTCTATCCAAAAGTGCTTCGGTAAGGCGCTATCTACCGCCAAAGATTCAAAAAACAAATCGTTATTTTTATTTTGTCGGAAAATGGTTTTGCCGATTAAAATGAAATTCGGGATGTGAATGTCTAATGTAAAAAGGGTCTTTGTGATATCATCGTTTTGATTGTAGTTGCTATGTAGGTGGTAAAATACTGATCATCCACATCTGAAGAGGTCTAAAACTTTTTAACTACTATTTTGACGGCTCTGAATTTTTAGACACTGATAGACAGTTTACTTGCAAGCATTTTTTGTCTCTTGATGAATATCGCTATCGGTGACGGTTTACGAAAAAAAAATAAATTTAGGCATGATGAATGGCATGCACCATACATGCGATTGTTCCTCAAAAAATCAGAAGATGGCTGTTAAACCTTAGAGTGGCTTAACGTTTGTTTGTTGTTTCTTAAACTTTAACAATTTACGTTTTGCTTGAAGACTTAAAACTTTAAAAAATAACGTACCAATGTTCCAAAGGGCACAGTTTAATTTATTACGTCGTATAATGCTTTGTATGCGTGAAAATGGTGGTTACTTTGAACATTTAGTACGTTTAAATTAATACATTACATTGACTTACTCTGATGTGTTCGTTTATTCTACATTACTTGCTTGCACTACGGTTTCATAGCCTACTTCTTGCTTGCACTTATGGTTTTTGAGGAACAATCGCATGTATGGTGCATGCCATTCATCATGCCTAAATTTATTTTTTTTTTCGTAAACCATCACAGATAGCGATATTCATCAAGAGACAAAAAATGCTTGCAAGTAAACTGTCTATCAGTGTCTAAAAATTCAGAACCGCCAAAATAGTAGTAAAAAAGTTTTAGACCTCTTCAGATGTGGATGGTCAGTATTTTACCACCTACATAGCAACTACAATCAAAACGATGATATCACAAAGACCGTTTTTACATTAGACATTCACATCCCGACTTTCATTTTAATCGGCAAAACCATTTTCCGATAAAATAAAAATAACGATTTGTTTTTTGAATCTTTGGCGATAGATAGCGCCTTACCGAAGCACTTTTGGATAGAGGTAAGTAGGGTTAAATCGTCCTATTTTGATACCAAGAACCCCTGGTAGCGCGTTGTACAGACCTTTTAGGGACACCCTGTATTTCCTGAAATTGTCAAAATTGGCGCCATTTTCAATCCTAAGGGACGGAACTTCCGGCTCTGCGTCTCAAATCACTCCAATAGGTCTAGGGAACATGTGTTCCAAGTGGCACAATTTTAATACGAAATGCCGAATAATACCAATATTTATCACGAGCCGCTCCTACTATAATGAGAGTGATTTCTTAGTAAGAAATCATGATGTAAAAAATTTATTTAATTTAATATGCAGCAAGTAGTAGCTGTAGAGAAAATCAATTAGTAATACTTTTCTTGACCTTCTGTTTCAGTTTGGTTGTTTATGGGCTGCGCTGCATGTCATATGTTACTTGTCATTATGATTGCCATAATCTAAACAGATACCAAATCATAAGTATAAATGCGTTATCACTTCATGGCAAATTTGCATTTATTGAAAATGTTTAGTGCACTAATACTCTCCTTTGCAGCATGTGGTGAGATTTAGTGAAGGGATTTTGTGTAACATAATTTCTTTCTCTTTCAGGAACACACTTAACGAAAATGATATTCCAAAAATACGTTTAAGAAGAACAACAAATGGTTTTATACAAAATGTGGCAAGGCTTCCAACTGTTGAGGAAATTGTTGAAGAGAGTCGAAATGCAATTTTCCCAGATGACGTAGAGATGACTGAAAATGGCTTGGAAAGCATTTTAGATCAGTTACGAGAAGAACAAAATGCAGATGAGCCACACGCATTACCAGAAGAGGAACAACTAGATAATAAATTGGTTCATCCGCTGATGGAAATATTTCCAGACGCATGTCCACAATTCATACGGAAGATTTGTAAAGGAAAGCGCCACTCGCCTGCTGTAATGGACAATTTAATTGCCAAAATCCTGGATACGGATATGGATTATCCAAAACGGCAAAAAGTTGAAAGCCCACCGTGCCGTTTGAATGCTTCCGAACAGCTGGAGCTAATGAAGAGCATACTTGTGGACGCTGATCCGGATTATTTACAAATGCATTGCGATCGTCTAATAGATAATCCAGACGAACTTAAAGCATTTGTGTCTGAAGCACTCGAAACACGAGACTATCCTACGTTGAAAGAATATTTGAGGTACATGTGTATCTTTTCCAGGGTAATTGTTTAATTTATTTGTTTGTAGGAAGAAACAAATATCCGCCCAACAAAACCAGTACACAAATAAATTTAGTGTCGCCAAATTTCTAGAGGTAATACCCGATCCTTTTCAGTATTTTGCTGATTCAAAGCGTAAAGTGAATGGATTAGATAATCATAGTCACCATTATGCTATGTGTTACCTACGAAACAAATTTGCATTAGTAAGTGTGCGATCAATCCGCGAATCCTTTATTAAAAATGAAGAAAGGTTTTTGGCAACTTGCAAAGAACTAGAAAGTTACCCTTCTTTCAAAAGATTGAAATCAAAGCGACCAAAGGTGGTGATGCCTTCTGTAATTCAAAACATACCTCTTCTTCAAGAAATTGCCTTCTATGACCATCAAGAGGAAATAACGGAATTTTTAAATAAACGAAAAATAGAAGAAGAGATGGAACGTAAGCAGGCCAAAGCCGCGGGATTATTGCAAACGTGTGCTTGTTGCTACGACGATGAAATCATGTTCAAAGATATCACTTCTTGCGAAGCTGGCTGTATATTTTGTAAAGATTGTGTACGGAAAGGTGCGGAGGTTGCGTTTGGAGATGGTAAATTGGATTTTCCCTGTCTTGGCGATTGTGAGTCCCATTTTAGTTTACAAGTTTTACAGGTATAAACATAAAAACCTGAATAGATTTCCTATTAACCATTTTTTTTTGTAGGCTGTGCTTACCCCAAAAATGTTTTCTGTCGTCGCTTTAAAGAAACAAGTCGAAGAAGTAAAAGCGGCTGGAATTGACGATTTGGAAACATGTCCTTTCTGTGATTTTGTCACTATACCTGCTCGTGATGATAAATTGTTTAGGTGCCTAAATCCTGAGTGTATGAAAGAGTCATGTCGAATGTGTAAGGAACCTTCGCATGTGCCTTTACGTTGCGATGAAGTTGAGAAGGATGCAGACGTTAAAGCTCGGACATACATTGAAAATAAGATGACTGAAGCACTACTTAGGTATGTTTGTTTACCCAAAATCGTCCTGTAACCTTCATTTTCATGCCTACTTTCTGTCAGGAAATTGTAATCTCCATGAAAGAGGCAGAGCAGACTAAGTTTCCTGCCGCTTGTCACTTTACCTGCCGCACCTGTCACATTGTTATAATGACTCCTGCCATCATTGACAGATTGACATTAATCAAAAGTTTTATATAAGAATTGAAATTTTACATTAAAATACGATTTTGGCTAAAATTTAATACAAAACTCGTCAGTAAAATGACATCCTGACTCGAAAATTAAAGTACTCGGCCCCTCAATATTTCATTAATGTGTCATTTTCCTGATTTTATGTAAATAACACTATTTCCATTTTGTTGTCCATTGTAGACAAAAAATGGCAATGTGGGACCTACCATATTATTACTTTTCCATATCCATATGCGGATATGGGTAGTAGGTATTACATTTATCATAACGAAAAAGTCACTTGTTATAGTTGTTGTTTTAGTACAGTAACTCATAATTTAATGTGATTATTATGTAAAATTTTGCAGGCTTATTACCTGCTTAGAGCTTAGAGACCTATTAATTACGTTGAATCCTTTCTCTGCTACTTTGTTATTTATGAACCGATTAATTACATTAAACATGTCAAAAGCTGCGTGCGCGTATGCGTAGTAGTAAATTTCTTATTTGTGAATCGATCTTACTGAGATTTTAAATCAACAAATTTTTCACTCTTTATTCTATTTTCGAATTCTTCATTTAATTCTACGTACAGTGGCTCCCCAGAAAGGGTGACCTAAGCTATCCTCATATGTATATCTAGGAATTCCAAGGTCTCCTAGATTGAAAAATAAAGGTTCTGGAAATTTTTTTGTAAAAAAAACAGATATCGCGTATTTGTCAATTTTCATTTATAATTTTTAAACGGTAATTTGTAGGTATGTACTTATAATGGGAAAAATTTAGCATAAGTTCTCTATTGGAGGCGGCCGATCGGAAGGCAATCGGATTGGAACTAACCCCTTGACGAGGGGTTGTTTCGATATACGATTATGGCGTAGTTTTTTGCGTATGGAAGAGAAGTTATTCGACCTATGTTGTCGGTACTTCCGGAATATGTAGTCGTTGGGGATATGCACATTTTCGATCCGGCTTGACATCCCCGGGAGCTAGTGGTAGGATGCGAAGTGTACTCTGGAGGTCGTTTTTTGGTAAAATTGCGAGTTTAAAAATTCGTTGAGGGCGAAGGAGGGGAGATATGAAAAAATTTTGGAGAGGTGGATATGGTAAAAAGGTCGAGGGGCATAGGGGTCTTTCGAAAGCGCAGGGTATCGAGTATGTAACCTCCCCCGCCTGCCCCGCAGCATGGCGGCAAAATTAGAATCTAATAAATGAAAAAAATAAATCATTTTAAATTAGTTCTTGCAAAAGTGCAGTAAAATGAACAGTCCGAGGCGAAGCCGAGCTGTAGACCTCTACAAATCAAAGCGAGGCGAGGCGGCAAAGCCGAGCGTATGTCTCATCAAAACCAAGAAGTGTTATCAAAATTAAAAAATCTTATGTGCAGATCTGGATTCAACAAGTTGAATAGACATTTGAAAAAAAGGCACTTTATAGGAGATGTTCCCAAAAACAAAAATATTCCTCACAAATTCAAAAAAATTATAAATTCAGTCTCCTCAATATCATTTTCTTACCGCTCCAAAACTGAAACTGAGAAATTGTTTTTGTTGAACAGTGCGAGGCGAAGCCAAGCTATGGACCGCTAAAAATCAGAGCGAGGCGAGGCGACGAGCCGAGCGTGTGTCTAATCAAAACCAAAAGTGTTATCAACATTAAAAAATCTTGTGCAGACCTGGATTCAACAAGTTGAATAGAAATTTTCAAAAAAAAGTCACTTTGTATAGGTGATTTTTCCAAAAAAAACAAAAATATTGCTCACAAATTCAAAAAAATTGTCAATTCAGTCTTCTCAATATCATTTTAATATCGCTACAACACAGAAACTGAAAAATTGTCTTTGTTCAAACCTCATAGTGCGTGTTAACATCTTACAAAAAGAAAATATAAATCATTTTAGACTATTTCTTGCAGAAGTACGGTAAAATGAACAGTGCGCGGTGAAGCCGAGCTATGGATCGTTACGAATCCAAGCGAGGCGAGGCGGGAAACCCGCCGGAGCCGACGTATGATCAAAACTAATCTAAGTTAAAGAATCTTATGTACAATTATGTGCAGATCTGGATTTAACAAGTTGAATCGAAATTTAAAAAAAAATGACTTTGTATAGGTGATGTTTCCAAAAAACAAAAACATTCTTCACAAATTCAAAAAAATTGTCAATGGTCGCGCCAAAAGTCGTATAGCGCATGCGCAATGATAAAGGGTAATTTGATCGAAATCTTTATGGTAGGTTCATCTAAAAAATTGTGTAAAAAATCGCATTGCGCCGAACATAGATTACACCTCCAATTATATCCCATTTTCGGCGATATACTCACTCTAGCGCAGTCTTGAAATGCGAAGCATTTTTACCAACCCATGTAATGAGATTGACTACTGAGTATTGACATATCGATGCTTTTTTGAACCGAATCAAATTTCTTTTCCCTTTTTAGAAAATTGTAACGTCAGCCAACCTTAACTATATTCTCACAAGCATTAAGCAAAAAAAACAAAAAAAAATATATATAAAAAATTTTTTTAAACATTGACAAATGGTAAACCACATAAATAAACAAAAAAATAAAAAAAATTTAAAAAAAGTTAAAAATTTTTTTAATTTACAAACGGTAAACCACATAAAACGGCGTTTGCTAATTAAACGGCGCCGATAGGTCCGTAAGGACCTATCACTAGTTTAACATATAAATAATGTAAAACAGTTTATTTCATACTGCTCTTTTTTCTATTAAAATGCCATATAATTTTTTATTAGAATGTAATGAAAGCAAAAGTCGTGAGGTTAATGCTTGTTTATTACTGTGAGTGCACATCATGGCGGCCCCCATGTAGGTGTCATTTGTTAATTCAGCATTAGCAGTCCATCTTAATTTATAAGTGCTTCGGATCAATCTGCTATGTTGGGATTTGCAGTAGTGTGTGAAGATGATTTTAATATGGCCACTGGTTCAAAACGCGAACGTTTAGTAATAACCAAGTATTTTACTACTTATTTCAAGCTTAAATGAAAATAACCTTCCCTCAAGGGATCAATTAGTAAGCCAATCTCTCTCATTACAGACTTCTTTCATTACAGACATCTTTAGAACCGAAGGTCACATTAGGTTCAATTGAGAGTCGAGATTTTAATGGAAGGTCCACGCGGGTGGCGGGACTTGTTTTTGGATAAAGACATACATCATTTGAATATGAGAATACTAGAACTACTTCAATTCAAGATGTCTACATACAAAATTTCATTTAAATATCTTGAGAAATAAACAAAATCGGATTGCGCATGCCCAAAACAAATTTTTTGATTTGGCATTGCTTACTTTTACTTTTATTCGAGGTGCCTACATACAAAATTTCATGCAATTCAGTTCATAACTAACGGAGATGTCAAGAAGGCTTTCCTTATTTTTTTTGCCTAAACGCTAAAATATTGGGTCCCAAATGATATGAAACCAAAAAGAAAATATAGACGCAGTCTATTTTCTATCTAAGAGGGAAAACTGTATTATTTTGTCCTTCTTCCCGTATGTAACTGAGTTTTACATTAAAATTGCCAACAGGGATTCCAACTATGATTTTCAATAAAACTAGGCTACACATTTTTCCATCTCCATTGTCTTGATTTTACTGTGTGTTGAAACTGTTTGACGTAAGATAATGTGCAGCAAAATATCTGAAACAATTCTTCTTATTTCTGAAATGAACTAATTTTTGTCGGCCAGTTGCACAAAAAAAATAGTCCAGGATTATTGTTTAATCCTGTATTAAGTCATTTGATTGACTTTATATTGCAGTAGGTAGCCAATCAAATGTCAAAATTCTTGTTTAAACTCAGATTTGGCAAATAATGTAGGATTTTGATTATAATTTGCTTTCCTGCAACCGTCCGTGTGTATGATGAAATATGTTTTCAGAACCTGCTACAAATGCGGTATGAAGTTCATAAAATCAGACGGTTGTAATAAGATGACATGTTCGTGTGGAGCTCTTATGTGCTATGTTTGTAATCAACCTGTCAAAGATTATAACCATTTTAACGGACCCGGTGGTGATAAAACAAATCTGTAAGTACATATACAAACATTTATTTTCCTTATAGTTCTCTTGTAGCTGTCCGCTATATAGCGATACCAATCAGCTGCATAAGGATGCAATATTAAAAAGTGCAGAAGAAGCTAAGAACGATATAGGAATTAGCGTAGCCAAAAAGTTAAAAATTGATCCCACCGCTGATATTCAACACCACTATAAGACGAACACAAAACCCGTTATTCCAGCAGCTCCTGTTAATCCCTTTTTAGGATTGAATCGTGAAGATCTGCTTTTACAGGTAATGCTTATTGTGATGTATTTGATTATTATTAAATTTGGCTTTAGGAGAGAGCATTGCAAATGTTTGAACATTACAATAGACGCCTGCATCATCGACGTGGCCATCACTAGTTTTTAGATTATGTTTTGAAGTTAATAGTGTGCATATATATGTATTTTTGTACTGAATTTTATAAATACCGTTTCAAATTTCTATGTTAAATAAAATTATATTTTATGAGAATAATTATTTTAGTGGCAAAAGGGAAAAAGTTTTGGTTCAAACGCTTTGCTTAGGAAATTTGGGTCTTTCTTACATAAAAAACAGAAGGCAATTAGCAAATTCCTGGTAAGCATACTATGCAAAAGGTCACGCTATTATTTAGAAAAACAACTTTCTTACTTAGTACCCAATAGTTATTATTATTACTAATTACAAATCAATATTAGGGTAAGTATTAGTTTTTTGAAACCACATGTATTATGTATACAGAGGGTGTCCCAGATCATCAGCCCTGCATGGGTACCTTTATTATTACAGAACGGGAATTAGGTCAACAGGGCAGTTATGTTTGCTATTTAAAATTCCATTTAGAGAATCTAAAAACTCGGACCGAATTAAAAGTTATTTTTTAAAACAGTCAAAATTAAACTGAAGATATTTATTTTCTATCACAACCAATTTTAGTATTTTTTTAGTACAATAACAATCGTAATAATTTTTGCAATAAATAACTACAGGAGACCCATATCAAGGTCCATTCAAACCGACGTTGGATATATTTGTTCAGCGGGATATACGTGAGTTTTTTTTAAATGCGAACATAGGAGTTTGCACGCAATGTAATTTGCCTATGTTCGATTTAAAAAAAACACATCAATCTATGAGGTGTTCACATTCCCAAAACGCGCAACTTGTGTGACTATGAACAGCAACTCATAGTCTTTATGATGAAGAGCACTCGGTAAGATTTTTTTAAATAAGCCATGTGAGGCTATAGCAAGTTCAGGATAAATTTTTCTTAAACCTACGATAACTTGACTTCACATGGCACGCTCTGACATCACAATTCATTGTGAACCAACCTTCAATTATTTGTAGGTCATGTGCACCTGGAATTCTACTAATTTGATCTAATCAATACATAAATGGTGAAAATAAGCAAATAAATAACGAAAACAATAAATTACAATAAATGTTCGAAGTGTCCTCCTTGACATTCTAAGCATTAACCTAACCGATTTCGTAATAATTAAATTGGACGGCGGTATTTTTAAAAATGCGACAGCTGTCAATTGTATCTACTACTCATTTGAACTACTCAATAGATTGATGTGTTTTTTTTTAAATCGAACATAGGGAAATTACATTGCATACAAATTCCTATGTTCGCATTTTAAAAAAATTCACTGTAGAAGTATGCATACCGATTCGGCGATTCGCATGCATATCCCGCGTCGGTTTGAGTAGACCTTTAAGCTAAAGCACCAGCGCGCGTCGTGTGCATGTTTTTCAACTATCATTGGCTAGAAATTGTATGTTTACAAGTAACGCCGCCATTGGGTATATTTGAATTTGCCGCTCACCGCGCATTTCTCTAACTAGTACTCGGGTCGCTTCTACGAGTAAGGTCGCTTACATACATAGATCATTGAATTTATAACTATCAGAAGTCTTGTGAGGTGTTCTGTTTGTGAATGAACTTTTATCAAATCAAAATTATAAACGTCAAATTAGGGGTCGCGAGTAAGGTCGCTTACTATACATAGATCATTGAATTTATAACTATCAGAGTCTTGTGAGGTGTTCTGTTTGTGATGAATTTTTCAATCAAATTATAAACGTCAATGGATGTAGGTATTACATAAACATCTATGTAATCTTAGTTAAGACCAATGTAACAAAATTATAGGTTGATCGTTAGATCAGTTTTAATATTAGTATGTAAAGACGCAATAAACAAAAATTTCAGTAACGAATAACAGGGCGACAGTCTCATTTATCTTAATTTGTCGATCGATGTGATTGGACTCACTTTTTGCCCAACTTTGTATATAAAGTTGTAGTTTAAATATGCACGTAGTTCATATGCACCATTTGGTAGTTTAAGCTATACCTTCGTATTTGAACTAATTTTATTATAACCTTAACATTCAGTAAACAGAAACACGCTACATTTATGTACTTTCAATGTAATTTAATTTTTTAACACAAGAAAGATGAATGTACATAATAGTGTTGAGAGTATTTTAAACGTTTTTGAAAATGTGGTATCAAAACCAGAAAGTTATTTAAGGTAATTTGTTTGATCTTTTATGGCATGTTAACATTTCTTAAATTTGTCATGTAAACATAAGATACACTATAATTGGATTTTTGTGTTAATTAAACTCTTCTCTGTATAGTGCCGAGGAGAAATTAAATGGAAACATTCGCAAGCTACTAAAAACTTCATACGACTTTTCAAAACAAACAGATGCAAAAACAACTTCAAATGCATTACCCGAGCTAATAATTGACAATTTTGACTTGGAACAGATATGGCAACAATTAGAGTTGCAAAACAATTTTATTTTAAATAGAAATGTTAATACAATTAGCAAGCTTGTTGTTTCAAAAGAAAAATTATTCTTCGAAGAAACGACCGATGATGTAGAGAGTGAAGAACCAGTAGAAGAAAATGTCATAGATGATGGTGCTGAGCAATCTGATGCAATCTCTGAATTAGATCATACAGATAATGAAGAACATGAACCGATCCCTACCAAAACTAAACCATCAGTAGTTGATGACAATTTTTTTAAGTTAGATGAAATGAACAATTTCCTTTTATCTGAAGAGAAGAAAGGTAGCGACAATAAAAAACCCCCAGAATCTGACTCCGAATCAGAAGGAAGCGTAGATATGTTTAAAGAAGATTCGGATAATAGTGATGACGATCCTGAAGCATATAATAACAAAAAAAATCCCAGATATAAAGATTTTTTTGGAAAATCTCAGCAGCAACCTGAACAAGTAGAAGATCAAGAAGATTATTCTAATGATGAGGAAGACGATTTTCATGATCATTATGACGAAAGCAATAACTTTAGTAACGAAAATGATGAGATAAAAAAATTTAAATCTCCATTAGAATTAAGGGAAGAACGACTAAATGAAAAAATTAAAGTTTTAGAAGATGCTGCGATCAGCGATAGACCTTGGCAATTAAAAGGAGAAATTCAAGGAGAAAATCGACCAATTAATTCACTTTTGGAGGAGGTCTTGGAATATGATGTGGGTAGCAGACCAGGTATTCTAAATAAAGCAAGTGGTAATTTCTCTTTGTAATTGTGGTATGTTTCAGCACCTGTAATAACGGAAGCTACAACAGTGCTGTTGGAAGATGCCATAAAACAACGAATTAAAGATAAATGCTTTGACGATGTTGAACGCAAAGAAAAACCTGTAGACACACCTTTAGAATACAAGAAAAAGCTTGTTTTAGATCAAGAAAAAAGTAAGCAGTCTCTTGCGCAAATATATGAAAAGGAATTTTTGCAGCAGAGAGATGCTTTACAAGCTACAGAAGAGAAGGAAGAGGAAGAACCGGCCTTGCACAAGGAAATCAAGTCTATGTTGAGTAGCCTATTTTCAAAGTTGGATGCATTATCAAACTTTCATTTCACTCCTAAACCAGTTGCACCAGAACTTAGAGTGGTTAATAATTTACCTGCAATTAATATGGAGGAAGTTGCTCCGGTTGCGATGACTAACGCATCACTTCTTGCACCCGAAGAAGTTAAGGTGAGGTCCAAGGGGCAAGTTATAGGAAAAGATGAAAGAAGTAAAACAGACAAAAAAAGAGAAAGAAGGAAAAAGAAAAGCAAACAAAGCGAACATGCCCAGCAAAAGATGAAGATGACTTTGTTGAAAAAGCCTGGTCTTGGAAATAAATACAGTAAGGAGAAAATGAAGAAGATGATAGAACAAGTGTCTAAAGATACAAATGTTGATAAGGTAATGTATTGTTAAAAGTTCTGCGTATTAATTTTGTTGATTTAGATGGATGAAGTTGTTGGATCTAAGCGGATAAAATCCTCAAGTGCATTTTTCACTCAGCTACAAGAACAAGTGTCGTCGCAAATTAAAAACACTTCAAAAACCCACAAGAAAATCAAAAAACAAACTTTCAACGCTAAGCAACTAAAATTATAAAATGTACATATTCCATTGATCTGTAAACATTAAATAGTTTCACAGGATTTAAATTTAATGAATTAATGAGACATACTTCCATATGACAAAACAAAGGGTCAAAAATATGTAAATATTATTTACATGGATTTACAAAATTTAGTTTTACAGTGATGTCTTTAACTTGAGGTACCTACCTAGTTCAATTTATCTCCTATAAAGTGAATTATTAAAATGGCAGAGCAAAGCTATGCAAACGTTATAGGTCTATGATGCCCATCTGTCTGTCTGTGAGCACGTTAACTGCCGAACGCTTGGTCCAGTTTGGTTCAAACTTTGCACAATTATCCTATATACCTACCACATGTAATAAGCCTACTGAGAATGGGTCAAATCCAATGATGCGGGGTCACATCGAGGTTTTTCAGATCTGCTTTAGGGGTTTATTTTGGCTTGGCAGTGTTTCACAGTTTAAGTATCGTCATTGAATAATAAGATTCTATTAATTTGTATACAAACATTTCACATGTACAAATAAATTGAGCTTGAAACTGCCCAATGGCGTCTACTTAAGTTAGCAACATGTAAAACAATGTATACAACATATAAAAGAGGGGTGCAATAAAACCATGGCTTAACATAATTTTGGTAATTGGATTTATTGTCGAATTTTTGATAAAATAATGAGAAATACACATGAAAATAAACTAATTCGTATATCAATGATGAGAAAAAAATCTTCTTTCGATTGGTGTTATTATAAACCCTCTTAAGTTAACATGGGGGGAGCAACAATCTGCAAAACGTTTTTCCAATGTTAATTGCCTATATTCGGTTTCGAAATATTCACCCGGTATAAAAACATATAGGTACACTTTAAAAAATGTACACTGTGTTGCCTTTAATCAGGCGGAAAAATGTTAAGTATGTACAAGCATTGTGTACAAGCAAAGAGTATAGTACAAGTACTACATTTTGTTGTTAATAATACAAACGTAGTCCTTATAATGCATAATGCATCAAATCAAAGGCATTATGGCGATATTTATTCCGAGGGCGACAG